ATACTGCTTTCCACCTTAAAGGGTTATTGTAAAGTTGAAATGAATGAATACATGAAAGTTTCTAAGACTGTACTTGATGCATGTTAAACACTCAAATGTTAACTACTTATAATCATTAATAAGCCCTGGCAGGATGCCAGGCATTATAGTAAATGCCATACATACTTCTGCCTCATTTAATTTTCAAAACAATCCTGATAAGCAGGAATTGTTATCATTCCCATTTTGCAGATTAGACAGCTAAAGGTCACAGATGCTGAGAAATTTGCCTAGAGGTCACAAAGCTAAAAATGGTGGAGGTGGGATTGGAACCCACAACTCTGACCCTAATTTGCCCATTTAACCACTATGCTGAATTGCTGGTGTGGGGTGATAAATCTCAAATGTTTATATCAGTTCCATCCCACCGTACACACACATACCCAGCCCCACACACACACACACACACACACACACAGTCCTCCGTGCTCATCTGCTCATAGAGTCTGCCATCCCTGCCCCCGAGCTGAGTCCTCACCCTTCCTGAGGAAGTTGCTGTTACACTCTCCCCATCTCAAGGCTCCAGGGTGCTGGCCAGCAGTTCCCTCTGACAAAGAAGCCACGGAAACTTTTTCCAAAGAGCTGCAGACAGGAGGGAATGAGATGGAGGACTTGGGCCTGAAGGGAGGAAACAGGAGGAGAAGCTTTGTGCGTTCAGTCAGGATCATGGGTTGGGGTGAGTGTGGACTTGGGACCCAAACGCACAGCATCAGTATTGGGACGGGGGTAGTTTACAAACCACTGAGCTGGGCTCTCCGCCTGCAAAAGGGTCCTGTTGGTGCCGCCTTGCCTCAAGTGTTCAATGAGGAAACAGTGTGGGAGTCAAATTGGGTGGAGGGTCTATGAGGGGAGTAACCTCCCTTCGTGGACTCACCACTTGGACTGGTAGATTTGGAAGAGGGCTTCTATGTCATGGACTCGGGCAGAGGAAGAAACTGAGCCATCAAGAGATGACACAACTTGCCACATCCGTGCGGCTGGTGATGGAGCCATTGCCAGGACATGAACTTATTGCACCTGGCATGGATTCTGCCTGGCTGAGCTCACCCAAACACCAACCACCATCTGACAATATGAGTTTGAGGCACAAAACCCCTCCTGATCATTAGGACTGTCATTTCAATAGTTGTTTTCCCCAAAGTTCCACAAAACACAAGTTCTGTTGGTTGTTACTGTCTTTTACCGGGGGAAAAAAAGTTCTGTGGTTAAAAAATTTGAGGAAATACTGGGTTGAACATGGTGACATTGTTCTTTTTCATAACTATGAATGAGTTCATCTTTAAATCTCTGCTATTCCCAAACCTATTTGACCAGGGGGCCCTTTGGCAGGGGAGGAGGGTGGACATTTGAACACATCTCGGCATAGATATCCCATCCACCCCAGTTCTGGGTGATGCTGACAAGCATATTGTAGCACACTGACTATTGAGAACACATCAAATGGACTGTTTGATGGTGCTGATAACAAAAGTCTTCGTATAGTCTTTCAGTTTCTCCAAAATCACTGAAGTTCATCAGCCCCTCTTTAGGAGAAAGGGGAACACACCAGAAAATTTTGTTCCAGAGAGTTTTCAAAGCCTGCACAGAAAGGAGGAAATGGGTCTGCTGAGGAAAGAGATTGGGTAGTCAAGAATTATCTTCTTGTCCTTTTTCTACTATAGATTCAGTATCATCTATGAAGTTGGGCAGGCAGTCTTTAATTTATTTTATAAAGCGCCTGGTGGTTTCTGCAGTTCCTGGTAGTTATTTTTATCCATCCCTCTTTCGTCCAAGAGGTCCGTACCCAGAAGTGACTCGCTAAATGTTTTTCAACTTCACCTGCTGGCCAGGTTAAGGTGAAATCCCAGACTGTTTTCTAAACATCGACCAGTTGATTTATCAAAACGGAGTTGAAATGTAAGTGTTTAGTTTTATTCTGTCTCTCTTCCAAGCACTCCAACTTCTGTCAACTCAAGCCACTTCCCAGCAGCTGCTCTGAAATCCCATTGACTGGAGCCCTGGAAACGGGACATCCTTGACCCTTGGAGTTACATGACGGAGGCTTTGCTATTTCCCACGCTGCGAAGGGGAACCACAGTCCTCCTATCTCTCTCAGTTCAAGTCATGTACTTGGCTTTTGGTTTTGGACCACTGGGTGGAGTGAGATTTGATCGTGGGAAGGGATAGACCTTCTTTTGGAATCACTTATAAAATCTCACACTCAGCATTCATTCATTCGCACCCGTCACTCACCTGTCATTCCTTCACTTGAATACCAGGCCTGACGTGCTCTGTGCGAGCAAGATACTACCCTGGGTTAGGCACTGTCTGTGGGGGGCTTGTGTTCAGGAAGGGAGCAGACAGCTGAGCAACACCAGAGGACCCGACTCTGAGTCCCTCTCCAAGATGGGGCAGCCCGAGGACAGGAAACATCTCCTTTGTCGTGGGAGTTCTAATGCCCAGGACTGACTGTTGAAGAAAGGTGTTTAGTACGGACTCAGAATGGCAGCTCCTCTCCAAGGCCTTTCCCCATGTGCTTCTTTATAGGGAATCACTTAATAGCAGTGGTTTCCTGTAGGTTTTAGGTCCCAGCCCAGGGACCAGCAGAACGAGAACTAGACCTGACATCAGATTAGTGCTTTTTTTTTTTTAACTTTCCTGCTTTTTTTCCCTTTTAACTTTTGATTTTGACATCATGTCAGACTTACTGAACAAGAAAAAAGTACAAAGAACCCTCATATACTCAGTCCCCAAATGTTAACATTTACCACGTTGCTCTGTTCTTCTGTCTCTTCACACACTCACACACAATTTTATCCTGAATCATTTTAATATGTTACAGATACCATGCCCCTCTGTTCCTAAATACTTCACTGTGAATTTCCTAAGAACATGTAACCCCAGTACAATGATCAAAATCAGGACACTAACGTTGACCGAATACTACTGCCTAATCTACAGACGTTATTCAGCTTCACCGTCATTTCAGTAACGACCTTTTACAAAAAGATCTGGCCTAGCATTCAACTGTCGTGTCTCTTTAGTCTGGAATAGTTCCTCAGTCTGTCTTTGTTTTTATAACATTGTATTTTTAACTTTAAACTTTTTGTTTTTATACGGTATTTTTTCATTTACTTTTTCTAGGTTTTTTAAAGTTACTTTCCATTTACAGTTATTACGAAATATTGGCTGTGTTCCCCACGTTGTACAATAGATCCTGAGCCCATCTCACACCCAGTATTTGGACCTCCCACTAGTCCACCCCTATAGTGCCCCACCCCTCCCACAACCACTGGTTTGTTCTCTGTATCTGTGAGTCTGCGTTCCTTATGTTATATTGACTAGTTTGTTCGGTTTTTTATTCCACATATAAGTGATATCACATGATATTTATTTTTCTCTGTCTGACGTATTTCACTTAGCATAGTAGCCTCCGAGTCCATCCATGTTGCTGCAAATGGCAAAGTTTGTTCTTTCTTATGACTGAGTAGTATTCCATTGTATATAAATACCACATCTCCTTTATCCAGTCATCTGCTGGTGGACATGTAGGTTGTTTCCATATCTTGGCTATTATAAATAATGCTGTTACGAACATTGGGGTGCATGTATCTTTTTGAATTAATGCTTTGCATTTTTTTTGGATATATACCCAGGAGAAGAATTGCTGGGTCATATGGTAATAACATTTCACTTTTTAAAAGAGTAGAGACCTGTTGTTTTGCAGAACATCCCTCAGGTTGGGTCTGACTGATGTTGCCTCCTACTTCAATCCAGATTATGCTCTTTCGGCAGAAAAGCTGCAGAAGTGACGCTGAGTTCTCGGTGCGTCACATCGGAGTCAGAGGTAGCTGATTAGTCTCATTACTTGTGATGCTACCTTTGATGATTTGATTAAGGTGCTGTGAGCCCAGTTTCTCCGCTATAAAGATACTCTTTTACCCTCAAGCGTGTGGTGGGAGGATACGCTGAGACTGAATGCCCCATCCTCCTCAGACTTTCACAAACTAGTCTCAGCATCCATAGATGATTCTTGCTTGAATCATTTATCACTGGGATGGTTGTCAAATGGTGATTTCTCTAGTTCCATTATTCCTGGCTTTCTATTTGTAAGTCAGAGCTCTCCCTTTTAAAAATGTATATCCTCTGGATCCATAGATCCTTGTTTTATTCAGTGGATTATAATCCTTTACATTAATGTTTATTCCAATGTTCCAGTTCCTGATTTGGCCGGGAGAACCCCTACAAGCTGGCTCCTGTGTCCATGTGACCTGCCCCTGTCATTCCTTAAGATCAGCACTATTCAAAGGCAGCCTTTTGGGGCTAGATGGAACCTTTTTCTGTATTCCTTGATTTCCTAATAGGTACTCAGTCAGTTTCTCTGCCTGGTTGAAAAACTCCTGGCTCCCACCCCACTCTGCCCCAATCTCCCCATTTCTCCCTACCTCCATCACCAACCCCCTGGTGAAATAGGATTTTCCAGCAAGGAGACTTGACTAATAAGTGATGGGGTGTCCGCATGCCCACCTTCAAACACAGGAATGTTTAATTTCAGCACAAAACACAGAACAAGAGTCAGCCCCCAACGCGTGACTCCAGAAGTGGGCAGGCGCCAGCGGCGGGCGGACTCACCACCCTAATGGTGTTTGCTTTTCTCCTGTGTAAACCACATGATGGTTGCAGAGGATTTGCCCTTTGCTTCGCTGTTGCTCTTTTATCCAAAGAGGAAGCAAGTTCTGATTGTGCTCAGTAACAGAAGGCACTGGACCGCTGAGTTCTCACCTTTAAGCCAGTTGTTGTCAAAATGAGGGGGAAAGAAAGAAGATAGACTGCTCGTTTTGAATTTGGTTTTACTTCAGAAGAGCCTGTATTTTTTCCCCATTTCCATGTATTGCTCTGAACGTGGAATATTTCCTTTTTGCACCTGGGAAAGGGAAGAATTGCTCACTCAAAGTAAGAAGTGGGTGTGGGAGTGACACGTGAAGAGAGTACTGAATCGAAGTTGATATTAGGAATCATCATATAAGGAAGAATAATTGTAGAGCTGGGCAGGCAGGAGTTGGGTGTAAATACATTAGTCCCCACCCTTTTCGTCAGCGGTCACTCAACCTTGGACGTTAGAGCCTGTCTCACTGAGAGAAGGAATGTCGCTGGGGAAGGAAAACAGGGCGGTGTGAGAGCGGGCAGAAGCTCTGAGCTGGAAGAGGCTGGGGAGAGCACGGAGCATGGCCCTCAGGTAGGGGACCTGGTCTGTAGGAAACCCCTGCGGTGCCCCCTAAAGGGAGGCAGTAGGGGTGGGGTGAGGGGACCCGGAAACTTGATTTGAAGGGGCAGAGCCATCAAAACACCCTTTATAATTACATGGCTTTGAAGAAAAATATAAATCCTGTGGTTTTCCCGGGGAAAGTGGGGGGTGAGGGTGCCAAAGCCACAGACGACACGTCAGTTCTCTAAGAAACAGAGAAGTGGAGGCTCTCCAGCTGGGCTGTTAGATGTTAGCAGTCACCTCAGTTTCATGCACGCTGCTCGGTGGCCCTGGCCACAGAGGGTGGGGACGGGCTCTCCAGCTACGGCCTGGAGCAGGCGCCCCAGGGTCGGGTTGACCTTGCTCAGCCTCAGAGACTCTGGGAACAGCTCAGGGTGTTGCTCAAGATGAGCCTCTTTCTTTCTTTCTTCCTTTCAGAAGAAAACCTTCCCCACCTACCACTCTGGAACCTACCATCCTAAAGTTGACTTACCTGATATTTTTCAGTGATTCATTATCTCACGATTGCTTCAGCGTTATCATGACCTACAGTCTGCCCTCTCTCAGACAAGCCAAAGCTGCCCTTTTTTTTCCTTTTCTTTGTCTTTTTCTTGCCACCTATCCTCCTGACTATTACTGTTGTCTTTGTTTTTAAACGGAGTCCAAGATAAATAAAAGTACTGTAAGAGTGGAAAGGGGCCGGATTTTAGAGCAGGTGGGGGAAGGGGAGGGGAGAAGGGGCAGGGGAGGGCTGGTGGGAGAGGAGAGGGGTCAATGGAGGGGAGGAGGTTGTAGGTGGTGCTCTTGAACCTGTTTGTCCAGCTGATACGTGAGTTATTTGCAGAAAATGGGCCCGTGGGGAGCACAGGCTGGGAACAAAATCCGGGGCTTGGGAGGCAGGGTAATGTCACTGAGAGTGCTTTGAAGATGCAAAAGGTCGGGCACACATGCTACTGGCTAAGCCCCCAATGATGTCTCTCTCTGTGGAACTCTTGTTGCACCTGGGGTTTGTGTCTGTCACTTGGTGCCACCGTTGATAGAAATATCCCATTTGGCCTTTATTCCAGAAACAAGTGTTACCTGGTGTTGTTAAAGCTGTTGTTTGTATGTGTGTGTCATGGCAACTAGATGACCTCTTTCTTAGGTGCAAAGCTGCCACCTTTTTTTTTTCAACATGCTGTATCCAGATAGAGCTGAGAAACAAATGTATGCTTATTATGAATTTTAACTTGTATAATCCCCAACAAGGCTGTGTGGTAGATATATCATTATCCCCATTTACAGAAGAAATAGCTGAGGCCGAAAGTTTCACAGCAGAGCTGGGACCTGAACCAGATAATCCAGGCGATCTCCCCATCTCAAATCTGCAGTCACATCTGCAAAGACCTTTTTTGGTCATATGAAGTAGCAGACACAAGTTCCAGAGATTAAGACCTGGATATTGGATGTCTTTTGGGAGGCTATTTTGCAGCCCTCCATAGGAGGTTACTTGTGGGTTTTATTTATTAATGTAAATCGAGTTTCCTCTAACCACCCAACTAGTCTATACTTCTTAAAAGGCACCAGTCATTTTCTCTGTGGATAAAGTCTTATGAAGTATCATCCTGGGAAATTCATCCATGATTGAAAAAAGGAAGGAAAGAGAACAGAGTCCAGCAGTGACACAGCCAGTGTCATGATGATCCGCTCTCTGCTGAGCACACGCATCTTCTGGAGACAGAGGGACTGGTGCTTTAGATTCTGTCACTGGCTTGTCTTCTTGAAGGTTGTAGCTCTTAGAAATGGAAGATGACGTAAAGATTCTTCCACACTAATTTTTAGGATTTTCAGAGAACAGACCAGAACAGCATGGTCGGTTTGACATGAAGAGAAGGTTTTATTCAGAGAGCAAGCATGAGGAAAAATGCAGCTTGGGAAAGGTCAGGGGACAGTGGGCAAGTTAGAAATGAAAGAAGCACAGACATGAATCTGTGTCCCTCCAGGGAGCCCGAAGGGGCGTGTCCTTGAGCTGTGAGAAAGTGGAGACATGGAGACCATGGGTCATAGATGGGATTGGCTCGTGATGGGAAAGGCAAAACAGGAGCGGTTTAGTCCAGTTGAAGCTTGAGCTGATGAGTCCGGCTGTGACCTCCTCGGGTCTGGAACAGGGAACTCATAGGTCAGCTGCCGCACCTTGACCTTTAATACTGGAGTAGCTAATCCCTCCACTCTCTTACACCAGCTGCTGCCACATGCGGACTGGTTACATCCATGTCCCCCGTAGAGGGCAATGGAAGAGAAAACACTCAGATCCTTTTCAATTCCACTGTTCTTCCACCAGCGTTCTTCAACCTGCATTTCCTCATTTGCAAATGGAGATGACATATAGAACTCCCAGGGTTGAGAAAAAGGTCTGGCACAGAGACAAGTGTCAATTAATGTTTGAAAACTCTGAATTGGTGATTCGGGTTTTCTCATTTTTTATTCTTTTTGCTGAGATATGTCCCCTCTATACCCACTTCGGTAAAAGTTTTTATCGTGAATGATGTTAAATTTTATCAAATGCTTTTTCTGCATCTATTGAGATCATCATGTGGTTTTTGTCCTTTCTTTTGTTGATGTGGTGTATCACATTGATTGATCTGCATATGTTGAACCATCCTTGTGTCCCTGGAATGAATCCAACTTGATTGTAGTGTATGATCTTTTTTATGTATTGTTGTTTTCTGTTTGCTAATATTGTGTTGAGAATTTTTGTATCTGTGTTCATTAAAGATACTGGCCTGTAATTTTCTTTTTTGGTAGTATCTTTGTCTGGTTTTGGTATCATGGTGATGCTGGCTTCATAGAATGAGTTTGGGAGTGTTCCCTCCTCTTCAGTCTTCAGAGAGAGTTTGAGAAGGATTGGTGTAAGTTCTTCTTGTGTGTTTGGTAGAATGCCCTGGTGAAGCCACCCAGTCCTGGACTTTTGTTTGCAGGGAGGTTTTTTTTAGTCTATTTCATTTCTAGTGATCAGTCCATTCAAATTATCTATTTCTTCTTGATTCAGTTTTGGTGAACTGTATGTTTCTACAAACTTATCTGTTTCTTCTAGGTTGTCCAATTTGTTGCCATGTAATTGTTCATAGTGTTCTCTTATGGTTTTTTGGTATTTCTGGGATATTGGCTGTAATTTCTCCTCTTTCATTTCTTATTTTGTTAAATCAGTGATTTTAGATACGTAAAGGTGTTCTGGGTCACCAGTGCCCTCCTCAACACACATGTTATCCTTTTGCCAAAAATTATAACTCTACCAACTTTGAGTCTCTAGGAAAGAAAATGCAAACTTAATTCCTACTAAAATGTCATTCACTCTGTTCTCCCCTTTTTATGCTTTCTTTTCCAGATGGTAACAAAAAATAATCCAGATGGGGTGCAGGTGCTGTAAAATGTTACAAAGGTAAAGTTGAAAAAATACCTATTCCAAATGGAGGAATTCGTGATTACCATGGAGGCACTTTTAAAGACCGTACATGGAATTCAGTACATTTATCCAGCTTGGGGCATGACCAGCATTGCCAGGACATTGAGTTTGGAACTGCTTTAATATCATTTAAAAGAACATGAGATCTAGAGTTTTTTTAACTTTTTTTTTGCACAATGTCCAGAGTATGTTGGGAACACTGCCTTTCTCTGTGGCTGATTTTTGTTTGGATTGAATTTGCATTTCCGCAGAGAACTTCAATGCAAAGAAAAGCTTGGGATTTAGAAGATGCCTGAAATGACATCACTGAAAATAAGTCACCCCAGTCACATATATGCTTTTAATTTTGTCCAGATTCTATTTCATAAAAATTTGGGTAACATAAATATAATTCTACATAAAATAAAGAGGAAAAATTAACTGATGATTTTGCTTCCTTAACAAGTAAAACTACCTGTATTATGTTAGTTCTGTTCCGTATCTGTGTCTATGTTTATGTATTGATAGATCTAGATACACACATGTAATACATACATAAATTTTATTCCACTATAATCATAATCTGATTTTAAGCTTTGTTTTAAAAAAAAAAAGTCTTATAAGTATCTTTCATACAAGTCCAGGCTGCATATTTATTATTTTAATGACTATAAATATTCTTCTGAGGGGTTGTACCATCAGTTCTTAGCCACTTATTTTCCTGTCATTGGGCGTTTGTTTTATTTATTGCCTTTTTTGTTTTTTACATTTCATGAACCACTTTGTTCTTTACCTTCTTCCAGCCCCCTTTCGAGTCTCTTCCTGAGATCTGTGTCCAGTGGTAGAACATTTTTATACCAACTGTATCTGATTTAGACACACAAATATGCTTGAAAGAGTAACTAATCATGGAAAGTAAGTTAACGGGAGAATGGAAAGCAGCAGAGCCTGCAGTAGGAAGTATTAATGAAGGCAGTTATTTATAAAGGGATTAATAAATAAAATTGCTTAATTAACCTGACTGATCATCATTCTCACCCCCAGCTATCTCTTTGATCCAGTTCAAGTGCCCTCCCCTGGTTACGTCAACGAAGTAAGCAGCTGCAAGGTAGATGAAGACGACACTGTCAAATTAAAAGGCAAGCAGAGCAGGGAAGTCCTGGTGCAGAGAAATGACCTTCCGAGCGAGGACGCGAAGACGACCGCGAGCAGAAGCGGGACGGCCGGTCCGCTGGAGCCCTGCTGGCCGCACGGAGGACCGCTCCTTCAGGGGGACCCCGGAGCGAGTCCCTGTGCCGAGAAGGCTGGCGGTGCCGTCAATGGCATCGGCCCCACTGCCGCCCTGCAGCTCACTGGGGACCCAGCCCACCCCCAGGGTGACGGGGGCTCCTGGGCCAGTACCGCCAACGGGGTTCGCCCGGCCCAGCCCTACCTTGAAGGGGGCAGCGCCAGCGAACCGGACCGTGTGCTGCCGGCCTCAGAGGAGACCCGAGTCAGCCCACCTGGGGACTCCAGAGCGCCTCCCAAGGCAGAACATCCTGCCCGGGAAGCACAGGACCACGTCCTCCAGATACCCGCCCCGGACTACCCTCGGCGCCGGGGCTCGGCTGAAGACGACGCTGATCACGGAGAACAGGGTTGTCTTTTCAAGAGCCGCGCTGCGGAGGAGCCCCGGGAGGGCGTTCAGCCCAGGGCGGGGGACCACGGGATGAATATACCCTTCTCCGTGAAGAGAAGCTGGGATTCATTAAACGAGGCCGCGGCAACTGAAGTTCTAAATGTCTACTTTAAAGAGGAGGATCCAGCTCAGGACGTGCCTGTGGCTGATTCGAGAAACGGGTTGGAGGAGGGCCCGGGCTCCCGTGGAGACAGGAGCGGGCGGCTGGAGGCGGAGGAGGACGCAGAGGTGGCCGAAGCCCTTGCTGCGCTGGAAGCAGCGACTGCAGGAGAAGATGTGGACGAGGCCGATTAGGGGAGGGGATGTGCGCAGGCATATAAACTGGCGTGGCCCTGGGGCCTGTGGGATGCGTCTGCTCCTTAGACGCAGAGCGGATACTCTGCCGCACGCACGCACGGGTGCAGCCTGAACAGGGGTTGACACCCAGCATCTGTTCTGATGGCTGCGAGTGCCTGCGTCAGGCCGCGTGCTAAACATGGACAGGACCACTGTCTGGATGAGCTATCACTCAGGATACCAGAACGAAAGTCAGAGTGGGCCACCGTGCTGGGCTGCACAGCATGCGTAGGGATTAAACAGCCTGCTCCCCAGCCCGCAAAGCTCCCCCAGAACATCTGGTGCAGGTGTTCTTGAGGATGCGCTGAAGTCCCAGCACTTAATCCCACGGTCACAGATTCGCAGAACATTCTGTTTGACTGTAAATTCTTTATCTTGCTTTTGAGAGCCAAACGTTATACCCAGCCTGGGAAAGGTAACTCCCACAAAGTGCCTAATGTATCCTCCCCAGAGCATGGCTTACCTTCAGGGACAATCACCCAGGGAACTAATAACTAACCACTCGTTGTTGGACAGAGAGTTAAGCTTAGCAGCTGTCAGTGGAGCAGGAGCCACCCATAAACAAATGGTTAGTCATTAGCTGTGATAGCAAGACACCTTGACCTTAACTTTTTTACATTATTACTTTTTCATCTCCTTTGGGATTTGGGGGTACAGTCAAAATCGTTCTTTAAACTGTTTATGTCCTATTTGGGTTTTAAGTTCATGAGATTTGGATGAGCAAAGAGATAGATGGAGTGTTTTGTGCCATGTAACGTCTGATTCTGATTAAAATGTAAGAACACATGTGTCTGTGTGTCTTAACTAGAATGTGGTTCTAATTTTTCAAGACTGAGCATTAGTGAGCCTTGATGTTTCTTTGAATGTAAAGAGCTAGACTTTTAAATTATAGTTGAGGAAGAGACTAGGTTGGTTTGCTAAGAATGCTTTGGCTCTCTGGAGTTCTAACTCTTGGTGTCATGACTACATGTACAGATCTTATCTTAAGAATGAACAGCTTTCTCTGAGTTTCAGCTTTCTAATTTATAAAAACAAGGACAGCTATTCTGACATGGCTTAATGGAGAATTTAAAGATGGTCAAGACTACCTAGAAAAATATGAACGTGGACGATGTTTTATTATGTATGGTGTTCTGTAACACAGGCTCTGAAATCTGACTGACCTTGGTTGAATTTCCAGCTTTGCCATGTGACCTTGGACAAGTATCCTTCTATTTGCCCATCAGTTAAGTGAGAAGAATAATAGTATGTACTTCTAGAAGTTGTCATAATGTCATCACTCCATTTTGGTAATTATTAAACATAAAACATGATTTCTGAGCCTTCCAACATCTTTAAGGACAACACCCTTACAAATGCTTAACAGACATACATTTCTCTGGGTTTGCTTGATGACAAGCCATCACTACATCAAGATCACTTTGAGCCCTTAAAGGATAAACGTTGGCATTGTTAATTGCATTTTTGGTTTGCTTGCTATTGTATTTAGTACACCAAATACTTACTGTTTCAGAGTCATTCCTTCAGCAATTTCCAAGTGTATCTGTTGGGATTAGGTCCAGCTGCATGTGCTAAATGAGTTATAAAAATAGAGATTTATTTATCTCTTACGTGAAAGAAGTCTGGAGGAAGCAGTCCAGGCTGGTAGAGGATTCCACGATATCAGCAACTTACTCTCTTTCTATCATTAGGCTTCCTTCTCAAGATTACTGTATGGTCCACAATACCTGCTGGGGTTCCAGTCATTACAATTGCTTTCCATGCAGGAAAAAGAATAAAGGGTCAGAAGATCTCACTCCTTCTCTATTAAGGACCTTCCAGAGGTATAATTCAATCCTTCTGCATATACCTCATTGGTCAACCAAATCTGGTTACTTGGTCACATCTAGCTACCAGAAAGGCCAGGAAAACTTACCTTCCTAGCTACGAGCATGACTCTCCCAACTAAATTCAGGATTCAAGTACTGAAAAGGTACGGAGAATGGACATTGAGTTTTGAGATGGTCTGCTTATGATCTCTGCCACACCAGGTACTCAAAACACAAAAGCCCAGGGTACAGCCAATTTGCAAGAGGCTGAAAGACATTGTTTACATTTAGTCTGACACAGAAGGAATCTAAATCTAAATCTTTGGTTCAAGGAGGAAGGACTGAACAGCAGCAGCCATCCCAGCTTCCCCCTGGCACCTCCAAAACAGAAGCATGAAGGAAGAAGAATCAGACAAGAGAAGGGTAAGGTGAGGTATCCACGCAGACAAGTCTCTTTCCCTGGCGCAGAAACATACTTCTGCATTGAGCTATGTACCTAATTTTACATTTTAGGACTGCTGCATTTAAAGTTCACCATGATGAGTAGCTCTCAAGCTCTTAAAGATTCTTTTTGTGCGAATGACTGCTTTAGAAATGTTAACAGAACACCAAGAATTTCAAGTGTTTTTATTTTGTTTTTTAAAGCAATTCTGGCCCCTTTAGTCTCTAGGCCAATATCTAGGCTCCTCCAAAGGATGTCAGAGGAAAAGTCAGAATCTTTAGGTTGCAAAAAGACTCCAGATTTTAGCCTTATTCCTCAGGTTATCCAGCAACTGGCCGAGCCCCCTGATCTGTATAATGTCTTCCATCTGCAGCCTGGTGTCACCCCTAATCAGAAAAGTGATGCTGATAAGAGTGACACTTTTCAAACATTCTGGACAGCTGGATAGCTCAGATGCACTCTGAATGTGAGGCGCTGGCTGTGGTTAGCAGTGGGCCTCACCTTCTCCATGATCTTAGCAAAGAGCACCACGTGGATATTTACCATCCTAAATCTTGATTTTGATGTAAGATTTTTTCTATATTACATATGGGTTTCTTGGGCTAAGTAGTTACATTTCAGTTTTAACTGGGGAAAATTGAACTATCATATAAATATGAAATTAGATATTTTCCCCAGATTTCCAGAGCAGATGGTAGCATATTGTTATAACTGTCAAACCAGACCCCGCCACGCACACCAAAGAATGAAAAGAATTTGAGGTTCTTAGCACCTGCGCATTGGTCCACATTCAGTAACTGTTAGCCAGTCACCATTTTCCTCAGTCTTCCTCTGCTGTGGACCCTACAGGTGAGATTATCTCTTTTCTTCTTTCTTTCTAATTGAGTTACAGTTGATACACAGTAGTATAAGTCTCAGGTGTACAACATAGTGATTCACAAGTTTATACTCTTTTTAAAGTTATTATAAAGTATTGGCTGTATTCCTTTGCCATCTAATATATCCTTGTAGCTTATTTATTTTATGCATAGCAGTTCATAACTCTTATCTCCTGCTCCTACCTTGCCTCTCCCCACCGCCCTCCACTTCCCTTGCATTTCTTAACTCCTCCATCGGTATCTCTCAGCAGGAGGCCTTAGGAAGAAGGACGTAAGCACAGATCTCCGGCTTCCTTAGTTCTGTTATCTGTGTGCAGACGCAGGAATGCAGTCCCTCAGCCTCTGGTCTTGAACTTGGACTTCACTCTTCACCAAGCGGAGGCTCCTATTTGTATGAGTCTTCATGATGAAAATGTGGACATTCTTGCTTTCTGTTTATTTTGTTTTTTCTAGATTACTCCTCACTCGTTTTGAAATCTATTTTACTGCTGGTGATAATTAAACAGAGAAAACTGGCATTTGTTTTTCATGGTAAACACTCTGTTGATTTATGGAAATAAGTTGCTCATTTTCTAAATTCGTAAGTTTCTCAAATGTGTCAGATTATAGTAGACATATCTAAACTACTGACTTCTGAAGCACCCTCAGCCTCTTTAAGAGACAATATTTTGGCAGATTTATTCAATATGCTGATTACAGATGATTCTTACCAGCATATTCAAGTCAGGTGCTTGGAGTTGACTATTAGCAATTTTATGTCAACAAAAGTGACTATAATCAACAAGTACCTTTCTCCTAGATGGAGGAGAGCGTGTGACACAGGTGAGAACTCAGTACATGATTTGTTCAATGAAGGAATAAAAGCTCTTCACATATAGTGGAAGAGACACCATGCAGCGAACTAAGATTCTGAATGCTAGTTATGAAATTGGAAAACGTTGTGATCAAGGTACACATGCAGGGCTGCGGGGGCACAGCCTGTGTGGATTTGACGGCGAAGAAATTACACTTATTATTCATGCTCTTCAGACCGCCCTGCTCCATTTGAATAAGGAGGCTGTGTGATGGTCTGTGGAAAGGTGGGCACAGAGTGGAACTGAGTAGCCAGTGAAGGTTTGGTCTCCATCAGGAGTCCCTGTTTCCCTGAGGACATTACTCCCAAATTGAGACAAAAACCTTAAAAAAAAAAGTTTGGGACCAAGCTCTGGGAAACCTAGCTGACCACATTTTTCAGTTTGAACTCAATCTTTCAGATCCTGGAGAAGAAGGAAAAAGGGTATGTATTTGTGACATGAGACTCAGATATCACTTTTCTCTTGGCTCCTCGTGGTAGAAACAGTACCTGGGGGTTGGCTCTGTGGTTAAAACCTGCAGCCCCGCGTGGTGACCTCCAGGTCTTCCGAGGCTGTAGAATCTCTGAAACTGTCTACATCAGTGGTGTTGATCTTTACACGACGATCATAGGACTAGGAATTCCTTTTCCTGCCAAGCATGAGGTGGGTCCTAGGCCATCCAGGCCACGTGAGCAGTGAGTGCAAAGTATCCAGAGATTCCTTTCCTCAGCTTTGTCACCTGTGAAGTGGCAGTGGTGGCTCGGCCTCCCTGGGGCAGGATTGCGACTTACAGGAGGGACAGGGTATCAAGTGCTCAGCGCATCCCCAGCACCAGGTAAATAATCAATGTTAGATGTGATTCTGTCACCCAGTGAAGGTCATCTCACGTTGGACCACTTTTTATGAGTAGCACTTAACACTTTTTTTAATAACTAAATTTGGGTTCTCTGACCACCAAAGCTCTCTGAACCACTTCTAATAATATTGAACAATTTCTAAACTAGATAAGTCCTTTTCTCCCTGCGTCATTAACAATCATCTCAAGGCAAACATGCATCTTGGGGGCACTCCATATTTAATATATATTTTGTTCTCATTCTGATTATTTATTCTTATGATCTTCATCATTTGACCAATTAACCACACAGTAATTTATGCCTAGTCACAATTTTAAGTCACGCTGTGTTTGAAGTGAATATTTAAGTCATGAAAACTGACCTATTTCTTTCATCCTCCCTTGTCCCAAATACATTTTTATTAAATAAGATGCCTCTTCAATGCAAGATACAAATCTTGGGTTTGGTAGGCTTGGTTAGTTAGTTTAGAGGGGTTGCTTTGTTTGGTGTTTTTTGATTTGGTCAATTTTAAGATAGTCATAATAAGCAAACGCATAAATATTGCAATTTGAGTATCATGTTACTATTCCAAGAGCATTTTCCCTATAATTTCTCAGCTAGAGTTACTTGCAAATAAAAAGAGATCAAGTTCTTTTTAAGACTAGACCACATTCAAGCCTTATCCTAAGAGGGATAAGATAAGACAACCGCCTGAACACACAGGGAAACAGGACACCCTTTATCTTGTAGATCTGGGCCCATTTATCGTCAGAACAATGAGATAATTCTCTCACGTAAGGTATCTGACTTGGTTCCAGAAGAATCTCAGGCCCAGAAAGAACCTCAAATGTTCCCTCTTCTACCCGGTCCCTCCTCCTCTCCCATTTCCTCCCACCCCAACCCTGGATCCATCCTTGAATGCTAAGTGATGTGACTGTGGCAGAGGCATCAAGAATCCACTCTCAAATGACCAGACTCTCATCACTCTATCATTTATTTCACTAAAGACAGTGCGAATTTGGCAACTCTGAGGCAGCTCTGAGTGAGCCCTGGTCCTACTCAGCCCCATGCTAAGTTCACTATCTGTCCAAGCCTGTACAGTCTTCACGGCCATCCTAAGAGGCACATATCATCTTCACCCTTTAGTTAGAAGATTGAGATCTCAAAAGCTTAAGGTCACAGATGACCAAAGTCATCTGAATGCCAAAGTTGTGCTCTTATGGGAGCTGTAATAACCAGCCCTATGGTAAATCAAAGAATGATGGTGAAAGGGAGGTTTTCCTAAGGCAATAAAAGGGAAAGGGTTTGCAAGAGCATTTCAGAGCAGAAGCCACACCAGGGCCAGGGCACCTGGCTATGGATCCGAGGCAGCACTGGGCAGTTTCAACCGTAAGACTGGACACCTGGCATCACTTATCCCTGTGGCCCTGACACTCCCATGTGTCCACTTCTCTGAAAGTAATTGCATTGGCCCTGGGATATTGTTGTTGCAAATGATAGAAACTCAACCCAAAGGAGGTAAGATAAAAGTGGAATGTCCCTGGAATGTCCATAAAACTCAAAAGGGCATTAGGGCCTTGGAATCAACTAAATCTGGGTCTCAGCAGCAACCGGGACGGCCTCTCTCCTCTCTGCATGATCCCTTCCTTTCTTCAGATCAGTTTCCTCCACAAGGCAGGAAGCAGGCCTCCAGCATAAGAAATACATGAAACATTGTGCTGTACACCAGAAATCGACACACTGTAACTGACTATACTTCAATTAAAAAGAAAGAAAGAAAAGAAATAAACCACTTTCTCCAGCTCCAGTTTCAAACACCCCAGGGAGAGGCCCCATTGAGGCCAGGTCACAGTCATGTGCCCACCTCAGTCACATCCAGCTCGGTCAGCAGGGCACCTGGCTGGGTTCTAAGAAGGAGGAAAATAGTTCTCCGAAGGAGGGAGCACCATTCCAGAAGAGCTGATGGAGTATGAACTGCCCCCTGCACACGCTACCTCTACATCCTCAGCTCTTTCTTCTACCCCTGTACTTCTGCCTCCTCGAAATGTGGATCCTCTTCTATTCTGTGGCTCTTTCATGAGGCTTTGAAATCTGACTGTGGTTCAGCTTCAGAGCAAGAAGTTTCCTGGCTCAGCTCTACCCTTGGACAAAGCTGTGTGTGCTGGACCTCTTACAGGCCACCTTGATCAGCTGTGGTGGGACAGACACCCACAGACCCCTTACCGGGTAGCTTACCAAGCCTGGCTGCTTACAACGGCAGTGTCCTCTGTCACGGTGGTCCTGGAGACTTTGCATGCATTTTTCTAGTGTTTAAAAATCCTGGGAGATAGGTCACTTTACATATGAGGAAACTGTGTCTCAGAAAGTAATTTCCCAGTATCACACGGCAGTGAGTGGCAGAGCCAGCCAGGATTCAAAACCAACAGCAAAGGCCAGGCTAGTTCTCTGAGACCACACTGCTTCTCATGGTCACACCACTTCCATGGCAGGATTCAGGGCAAGGGATTCCCTCCAAAATGAAACTCAGTTATTCCTACCATCATCAAAGGTCATGCCTGCAGAGAAACAAGTTCCCAGATCAGAACCTGGGGTTTCTTCTGAGAAAGACAATAGAGACCCACTGGTAGAGTCAGAAAATGGGTTAGGAAAAACCCAAACTGAAATTTTCACACCCATAAAATATCTAATGATATTCTTTCATTTTTACAGGTAGACTTTTGTTATTTATGTATTCATTAAATAATCATGCGTACATACTTTCTGAACTGAAAGAAGATACAGCACCAATAATAAATGGCCAAGAAGCTATGCTATCTATCTGCAGTTCTCACCTTTGGCCGGCAGAGGGCGCACGCGCCAGCTTTGTACAAGGCCGACTACCCGCTGCCGGGACAGCAGCGGAATCAGTCCGGTGAGCCCTGACACCAGCTGGGCAGCTGCAGAGCGCCGGGGGCACAGAAGTCCCAAGTGCCCTTTCAGGGGTTCGGCGCTCCCATGAGGGACCTCCAAGAAGATCTGAGAACAGTCCTGAGGAATGGTCCTGGGAAGATGAGGAATGAACGAAGGAAGCCCTGGGTAGAACCTGCCCCACAGACACAAGGGTCAGAGGATTTAAGAACTGGCAAGGACATCGGGGGCAAAACAGTCTCCTTTGACCGCAGCCCAGCCCTGAGTCGCGGGACCCCCACTTCCAAGCCCCAGCATTCTGCTGTCGTCCGCTGTCGTCCGCGGGAGGGAAGGGAGGGTCTCTTTACCTTTCCACTAGATCAGATCTGGGCGCAGGAAGCCTAGATATCCAGATTTGAGAAGGAAGTGCGGGAGCACACAAGGCACGGACAGTCCCTGGCAAATTCCCCAGGACCTGCCGGTGCTGGGGGAGAGCTGACTCCTAGGGAGGAGCCTCGCGACGACATCAAAGACTGGCCAACTAAGAACAGCACCTGTCATCCAAGTGACTCCCTTCCCCTGTGAGATCTGGGGACTTCCTAACATCCTCCCTGGTGCATTCATTCCGGGGTTCCTGGTTTTCATGAGCTGAAAATTGTAAAAATCACCTTTCCTACCTCCTTAGCCTAAGTTCTTGATCATCTTGTTTTCAAGGCAAAATAAATAAATAAAGCAAAAATAAAGACAAAAAACCAACCAGACACACATGAAAATTCAAGGTCAAAATCCAGTGAGTCACCACAAACAGTAAAGCCTGCTGTATATAAATTTTTTAAAAAATTAATAGAGATATGAAGGAAAGATGGAATTCAGGCGATGACAAATGACTCTGCTAAAACTGAATCACATAACCACACCAAAGGGTAGGGGTGAAGGCGCTGACTTAAGTAACTTTGACAAACGGGCTTCTGCTTAGATTCTCTCAACAGCAACCGGGAAGAATAGTATACAACCAACACTGTGCTCTAGCTGGAAATCTATTTCCCGCAGGGGTATATATTCAAGCTACTTTATGTATATGTTAAAGTTGACACGTCTGTAAAAATAGTATAGCTAGTAAGAACCAGTTTTCTTCACTGTAGGAGAAAAAAGTTACAAAGAAGGAAAGCTGGAAGGTTCAAGCAAATCGTATGGAGCTAGACTGGGATCAGAGGCATCAGTCATGACTCGCGCTTTTTTCCTAAAGATAGCTACAGAAAGCTCTGTGTAAATGTATGGGTGAGTAGTGTGTGTGTGCGTATATGCGTGCCCAGAAGCAGTGACACCCCAGGATCAACGAGCACACCTACTGCCCGATCTTCATTTCTAAACACTGTTCTCCAATAAAGGAACCAGGGCTCCTTGAATAGTGCTGGATTCCAATGCTGAGACAAGGAATATACAAGATGAGAAGATGAGCCTGGAGCATCTTGTGGTTCTCGAAAGTGAGGAAGAGCAAAAGGGAGAAGAAAGAGAGGAAAGGAGGAAGGAAGGAATAAAGAGGAGCCGTATTGAAAGGACACCGGCCTGGTCCTGAAAGAGCCCCTCCCACAGTAAAAGCAGCTGCAGGCAAGATCCACCAGTGGATGGTGTGGTGGGCTGCATTGCGTCCCCTGAAAAGATATGCTGAGGTCCTGACTCCAGGATCCCGTGAATATGGCCATATTTGGAATGAGTCTTTGCAAATGTAACCAAGTTAAGATGAAGACATACTAGATTGCAGTGGGCTCTAAATCCAATCACTGGTGTCCCCATGAGAAGAGGAGTGGACACAGGCCCCCAGGCAGGGAAGAGGTCCATGTGGAGACAGAGGCAGACACTGGAGTGAAGCAGCTGTGAAGCAAGGACTACCCACAGCCACCAGAAGGTAGGAGGCATGGAACCAATTCTCCCTGGGGGACTTCAGAAGGAACCAACCTTGCAGATACCTCAGTTTCAGACCTCTGGCTTCCTAAACTGTGAAAGAATAAATTTCTGTTGTTTTAGACCACCCAGTTTGCAGCGGTTTTTTACAGGAGCCCCAAGAAACTAACACAGATGATAAAATTAAAGGGTGAAAATTTAAGTGGAAATAGTGCCTAATCTCAAAGTATCTCCCCCCGAATACTTATCAATAACAGAGGGGGAAACAGTGACTGTACCAGAATGAAAGCTGGTGGCCACCACCTTGACCAAATGACATCACTAGTAATACCTACCGACACCATGTCCTCCCCCGCCCTCCCCCAGCATGGAGCAGTTGGAAGGGCATCCTTTTCATAATGCAAATCCTGCATCTAATCAGAAGAAACAGCGGCACACTGAGGTTGAAGGACATTCTACACAGTAACTGACCAGCACACTACAACGCGTCATGACCATGACAAACAAGAAGAGACTGAGGGACAAGCACAGATCAGAGGAGATGAAGGAAGCTGACAACTAAATGCAACGGGGAGGGTCCTGGAAAAGAAAAAGGATGTTAGTGGGACATTTGGTGAGATGGGAATAATGTCGTGACTTAATCCATAGTATTACACTGGTGTTAATTTCTTAGTTTTGATCACTGCTCTGTGGTCACATAAGATGTTAACATAAGGGAATGCGGTGTGAAGAGTACACAAGAACTCTTTGTGCTGCTTTTGCAAGTCTTCCAAACATCGAAAATTATCTCCAGATTTAAAAAATAATCATCAGGGGGTGGGGGTGGTATTATTCTGGGGGTGAAAATCCAATGAGGAAGGTCAGCCAAATGAGCACTTGACAAGTCAGACCTAAGAAAGCAATCAGGCCCTGTAATACTAAGCTCGGTAAACCATCCTGCCACAATTGTACTTTCAGTACCCGAGGCGCCAACAATTGGATCATTCAAGAGCAACTCACTGTGTTTAACGTTTTTATTTTTAACTCTGCTTTGGTAGTACAAAAGCCGTAAAAGTACAAACCGGACAGTTAAAAATACATCTGACACTCAAAATGGTGAAAAATTCCCTTTACAAATGTTGACATCAAGGTGGTAGCCAACTCACTTATCACATCAGCAGTTAGTCCAGCATTAGTGTTTTATACAGTTACTTTGTTGTGGTTCCCTGAACCTTCCAAAGTAGGAGGAAAAACACAGAAGCCCTGTAAACATCAGTTGCTTTGGGAACACTCAGGAATCCTTATTAGATAATATGAACCAGTAAAAAGCATATGTGTTGAAAATATTGAATTGCTTAACATTTGGCATATTCGAAGCCACCTGGAAAACCACTGCTCAAGGATTAGAAAATATTTAAAACGTGCTCTTAGTATAAATACAATTTTAAATATTTCTGAGTATTTTCTTGCCTGTTGTATTGCTATCAAAAAAAAGTGCTCTGATTTGAATAAAATTAAAAAATAATTAAAGCTAAAGAATATCTTATACTTTATCCCTCACCATTTGGAGGGCAAAATAATTTTAAAACAAAAAAATGATTTTTTAAAAACTAAAATGGTTGGTCTAGACTGCACATACATTATTTACACTAATACACACCCCCAAAATTCCTATGTTGCTACTTTCTGGACCTCAGTGAAATTTACTTCCACACTGACTTCTTCGAGTCCATTGTGTGTATTTACATACACACATACACCTTTTAACTAGTTGTCAGCAAAAATTCATGTGAAATTGAACCAACCATTCATTTAAAAGGTTAGAAATTTTTAGTTTGATGCCAAAAAAAAAGAATGAAATGAGTATATTTACAGTAATATAAAGTACATTTTGATGGGAATCATCTTTTGTGAGTCAAATGAGAAATGTGTTTTCTTTTCGAAATAAAAGAAGTATCCAAGGCACCACACCAACACTGCCATCCATGGAGGCAGGTCTCAGAGATTTCCCTGTGACTGGACGCCCTCACCCCCTGACCCAGACCTACCGCAAATGTACTGCTACCTTGCCTCTGGGTCCTTTCAGGTGTTTTGTAAACTGCAAAGTTAAAAAAAAAACCCAAATACCCAAAACCGGTAGGGTATTCCATGCCTACAGGGGAAAGTAATCCTCAAGAGTCCTTTATAGGGAGCATGAGTTACAAGACAGAGAACAGGAAACTCACCAAGGACAACATACCAAAGGGAGGTGTGGGCCCATCTTGTACCGAAAGTGGAGACTGTCTTGTTTTATCAAAACAAGACTTCTTCTTAGTGACTTTAAACCATTTCCTCCTTTATTCAATGGCTAAGTAAGATTTGCTTAGGTTGAGTTAAAAAAAACAAACACAAGAACAACCCAAACTCTCAATATTTTATAAGTGACCTAGGAGTGGCAGGCTGGTAGCAGGTCTGGGCTGAATTCTGGTCTCGGAATCCAAACTCTAGCACCTGGCTCCCTCTGACTCTGTGATCTTCTGGGGGATTCACTGCCCAGGGCTAGACTGGATTATCTTCAAGAAGCCTTCACCACCAAAGATTCATCTTCTATCTTCTGTAACAGTTAAACTGTGAGAGGATCTTCTGACAACCAGTAGCCAAATGAGATCTGAGGGTTGGGGAACAGAAACACACACACACAGACACGCATGTACACACGCACACGCACCCTGAGTATTAGCTCAGACTGTACACGAATAGTTTCACTGTACACAGTGCTCGTACTGGAAAAACTGGAGTGTGTACACCAAGGCCACCAATGGGAGACTGGGAGGGGGTGATGGCTGGGAAGATAAAAAAATGAACTCTCTTCCTCCCTGAAAATGTAATCAATTTTTCATCAGACATTTTTTTAAACCAAAACTTGCTTCAAAGCAAACTGAATTCTGTGTCCAGCATAGCAACAACATTCCCTTTTAGCTTTCATCCACATGCCTGCAGACTCCACCCTAGAAATTGTATAAAAGATAAAAAAATAATTCCCTAGGCAACTTCATATGTCATAAGTTTTCAGTCTCTTAGAACTCTTCAAGTGAAGTCACTCCTGCAAGAGAAAACAAAAGAGGTAAAGCTTTGTAAAAGGACAACATCGTATCACACATTAATCTGCCGGAATATTGAAACACACAGAGGAATTACAAACCATCCTCACCCATCCCACCCCCTCCCACTCCACCCAACTGCATTCCTTCCCCCATTCCACATTTCTTCTAGAATTTGGTCTAAGGAAATCTAAGTCCTACAATTTCAAAAGGACCTCTTTATCAAGGTTTTTTAAACAAGAAAGGACAGAACTTGAGAAGCACCGTAGACTGATGCCCTCAGTCTGTTCTGACAGGAGTCTCTGAGGGGACTGGTGGCCCACTCCCTGTGAGTCAGGTGCCACTCCCTCCCGGGAACCTGTGCTTTAACCCTTCAGCCACCTCTGTCAGGTAACGAGCGGCAGGTGAACGTGGTCCGCCACAAGGAACCTCAGATGTGCCAGGTGAGCTATCTTTCCCAAGCCACACCAAACTGAGATAACTCTGCATCTCCACTGAGTAATCAGGGCAGCTTGGCTGAGACTCACTGGGCAAGTCAGAACACAAGGATAAATGCTCACTCAGTCTTAGGTCTTCTTTGTAGCTCAGAGGGCTCTGTATTATATGTTTAAGTTCTAACAACCAGTCCACGCCCATGCCTACATTACAAATGAAGCCCCTTGTAAACTTGTAAAATAATTTTCTACTTTTCAGGTTTTTTTTTTTAAACTGTTGTCCCATCTAAGCGACAGACAGTTATGAACCCTCTTATCCTTCTGTTTTGAAGACTGGGATAGCCCAGGACAAGACTAAAATTCTACATCTGCCTGTGTATTCTGAAACATGCATACCATGGAGGCCAACCTACACCAGGTTATAAAACATTCTCTTATCTGCCAAAATTGTGCTGGCCTAGAAATGCTAAAGAAAGATAGAGATGAAACCACCTTGCAGAAATACAAGAAGCAGCAAAAAGTGGGTAGAGATGTCTTAATTTAAGCATCATTTTTAGTTACTTTACAGCGCATCCTTCAAGGTGTGTAGTCTAGTATTATCCATATTACACTTTTCTGTCACTATCATTTACAACATTCACAATGGTTGTGGGGGGGGTGCGGTGGAGAGAAAGATGGTTCCTAAACTAATTAGATGGGGTAAAAGGACACTTATCCCCTTAGCTGAACAGGAAATAAAGCCTTATCCCCTAAAACATCATGAGCCAAGTTATTAATTATAAACGAATAACTAGTGCCCTGCTGCATTGCTACAACCTAACATGGCTGACTATGGATCTGTGCTGCAAAACTGAACAAAGTCAAGTCTAGGAATACCTTCAGTTGAGAGTCGAATAATGTGGAAGACATTCCACAGGGGGAAAATGTAGAAAAGCCAGAGGTACAGAAATAGCAAAACTGCCCTAAAGGAAAAACTGTAAGAAACAAGAGAGAATTTTCCCAGTAAAACTGCAAACTAGGCCATTATCTAGAAAATAGGTATTCAACTATTTTTATGTCTCCTCTTTTATTACCTGCTCCCTGAGACTTGGACATTTTTGCATCAAGAGAAGCAAGAAGGTCAAGAGTAAGGGACTTCACGCCTAGAATATAATGTTTCATCACAGTCAGAGTTTTCTTTCCAACATAGCAGAGCTTCCTGTTTAGAGTTCTTTGCACAGGTTTGACCACCTTTAAGGAGTAAGAATGCAAGATCAAGGGCTGGGCTAACGAAGGAGAGGTGTGGAGCCAGTGGCCTGTCTCCAAATCCAAACCCCTATGACTAACTGTTGAACTTTGGCCTCTCTGCAGCATCCCTCAAAGGGTTCCTGGGAGTTTTACAGAAGAGGATACATATACAATGCTTAATAAATACAGGGCCACGCCGTCAGCACCCCCTCAAAGTTAGCTATTATGATCAATGCCATCATCTACACAATCATGTTGGCTTTCTTTGACTACTGCCTTCTGCAGCTGATTAAAACTGCACTATGCACAGTATCTTGGAAAGAGGATGTGAAAACTACAACTTTCTGCTTAAAGTCCTAACTACTAATACCAGACCCTAAGCAGAAAAAGAAAAGTTGACCTTTTTCAAGGCTCTATTGAAAGCTACCCAGCCCTGATTCACAGTTCTGGGCTCCCCCTCTTCACAAACAGAGGCTTAAGGGAGTCCTTGACTGGTACAACAGCTATCAATTTCCAGGTAAATACCCATCTTATCGGAGTGATAACCTAGAGGAAAGAAGACACCACGTTCTGTACGGCTTGTAAATGTCCAACTGCAGCCTTATTTCTGGGACTGTGTCATGTGCACTTGACGTTGCTAAATTTCTTTTCATTTCATTCTATAGATGAGGATCTGCCCATAACGATAAACAAACACATACTTTATTTTTTTCTTTTCATACTCTTTTCCATTATAGGTTACTGTAAGATATTGAATAAAGTTCCCTGTGCTATACAGTATCAACTTGTTGTTTATCCAGTTTTGTGAGGACTTTCCTTGTATTTCGGATGGAAGAGATACCTGCCAAAGCTCAGTGGGTACTCTGTGCGAATGGTTCCGTATGTGGAGGCAGTTTTTGATGTATTAGTGGGAGAGAGTGAGCTACGTGTCCTTCTACACCAACATCTTGGCAATCTCCTGCAAACACATACTTTAAAATAGCACTTTTTTTTACCACAGCACATTAATGCTACAAGGTGCCTTCTGCATGGGCACATAGCTGTCAGAACCAGGAGTGGGCTGGCATAAATGCCAGGAAGGACAAGAGGGGCAGACAACACTCCACCCACACGCTACTCTCAGCTCCCGTCACCACGGGACCCCACCATATTTAACAAGACTGATCTATCTTTTGTAGGGGGTGGGGTAGGGAATTTGATGATCACTGTCTTACACAAGCGAGCACTCAAGCTGGCAGAAATAAAGCAAAACTTTCTTCTACTGAAAAGGCAATTCAGAAATCCCAGTGTCACCACTTGCATGGTAAAACGAGATAGATGGAGAGAAATTAAGAACTTCAGGAAAAATTTATCTGGAAGGAAGACATCAACTTTTTCTTTAGCGTTTATTGCTTACTATACAGTTCTAATTATAAAGATAAAACTGTAATTCCACTATTATGTTAAGGTTCCACAGAAGCCACAACACATCTTTGATTAGGACATACATGTGCCTTGGTAAAAAAGTCTCCCTTAAAAAAAGGATCTGGTCTCTTTAAAAATTAGAACCATGTTTTCAGAAACTAGAAGCCTAAACAGATTAATGGACAGTGAACACTAAGAGCTCAAAGGACAGAGGGTTAAGGAAGGAAAAGACTGTCTGATTAATAACAACAGTGGCCGACATTTACAAAGCGCTTTCCACGCACCAGGCACTCCCATGCCCAGCACCGTGGAGTCCGTAACTCAGTCTTTCCGATGAATCCACAAGCCAACCACAATCCTCCTTTCCACAGGAGGAAACTGAGGTTCAATAGCTCACCGAAGGCCACACAATTAATAATGGGAAAGCAGCGATCCCACCTCAGGCAGTCACACCTGGAAGCCACACAGTCATCCCCACCATGCACCGCCCCACCAGTCACACAGAGACACCCCAGGCGCCATGAGATCTTCTTATGCCCTCCCTTCTGTGCTCTTCCCTGAATCATGTCAGTGAGAAGCTCTGCACTCCTTGCAGCTTTTCTGACATTAGATTTAGCTCTTACTGGCAAGTCTGAAGGTTGCTCTTTACTGTTATCGCTTCACAGCAATTTAAATGTGTTCATATATTTGGCAACAGCGGGTTTCCCAAGTGGCAATCGCTAAACACTTGTGATTTACCAGCCCTGGGGATGGTGAGAATCAGAGCACTTTATTCCAAGTAAAATGTAAACGACATTAAAAGTTATTCAAGGGTTCACTTGCGAATTACTTAAATGCAATTCAGCAGTTCCCTACTAGTCTCTATACATCTATCACCCAACACTAAGTTAGAGTTAGAATAACTTATGACTCTGAATGGTCCCACCTCTAATACGGAAAACAAAACAAGTTAAACGTTGCCTCTCTACTGCCTCGTGAGCCAGAGTTCAGCTAACCACCTTTAGTAAGCCTCTACCTGAATATCAAATAAACAAAACTACATCTTATAGGTTATGTCTCTCTAAGCCTCAGGAAAATTAAGTATCAAAAACCATTAAATTTTCACACCTTCATTTGCTAAGTGTTTAAATAGGTCTCGCCTGATATAACTGTAATAATAACATCAAGCATTTGTCTACGTAGCACTTACTAAGTGCCAAGGAACAACATCTCTACCAGGTAGGCGGGATTATCATTATTAAGCCCACTTTATGGATGGAGAAGCTGAGGCATCAAAGGCTAAGGAACTTGCCCAAGATTACACAGCTGAAAAGGAACAGACCAGGACTGGGGCATGAAGTATCTAATTCCAGAGCCTGCACTGTGCAGTTTCTACAGCATCACACAGAAAACAGGTGACTTAGAGAAAACAGGCACTATTATTTACTTAGCTATTTAACGTGAGACAATTCAAAGCCTTGAGTTCCAAATTAAGAAAAATTAAAATCCTGATTATTACTATTAATTTCCTCTTTTTTCAATGTCTCCAAAAGCATTTCATTTTCTGTCTCCCACGAGCTCCCTCAGGTCTGACTTTACATCCTCCAAAAAGCCTCCATGAGGCTCCAATGCTGCAGTTTCTGTGCTGAAAGGGGCAGATGTCACAGCCCTCTTTCCTAAGCCTTGTTGGAGTGCGGACAGGGCCACAGGGGAGGAGAGATAAGCTCTCTGAGGGGGTCAGTGGGTCAACTTCTGGTCAACACTAAGGAGGGGCCCTGGAGTCGACGCTGCCCAGGGAGATATGGGCAGGGAGGAGGCAGCAACTTCAGTGGCAAATCAAAACAAAACAAAACAAGAACGCTCAGGTCCCCCATGTTGTCTCAATTCTGGGAATACTGACAAATATGTTTCAGTCTCTTCTAACCACAGAACAAGACTGTGGAAGAATCACTTACAAC